CGAGGGCTAGCTCAGGATCGGCACTGGGATCCACTCCAAACTCAAAGTCACTGGCACCAAGACCAAGCATGGCTCCACCTTCCCCAGCCAGAATTGGAGAACTGATGAGGGCATCAGCCAGGCTGGGCCCAGGAGGCACTGTCACCAGGTGAGAACCGGTTCCATCTTTGCCATTCAGTGTGTTTACAAAGGCTGTTAGTTTTTCTGTGTTCACTTCCTTGGGGAAAAACAGGAATACAAGAGGTTCTCCTTCATGTCGTGCTCCCCACTCTCTACCATTTAAGCCTGTATCTGTTGCTACTTTTTCAAAGAGCAGACACTCCTCTGTGTAAGGATAATATCGTTCTCTATAACTAAATCAAGTCAAATGTCACTAATTAAACTCTACTCACCTCTTCCCCAAAATTGATAATGTCAACATTTACTTTCTCCTTCTTAAGGCGTTTGGCCAATTTCACCAGCTAGGGAGAAGGTGGAAAAAATGAGGAAATCTGCTCCATATCATAAGGGAGAAATGACATGCCTCATAAAAGCCCAAAGGAACCTTTTGTTCACATTGAGTTCTACACTGTTCCCAAATGGATGAACATGCAATGCCTCTGCCAGGCTATCTCATGGGGTTGAAGTACCCCACTCCCAAACTTGCCCGCCCAGATCCCTCAGCTGATGCTTGGACTCACATCCTTCTCATTGTCTTCCACAGGGCTTCCCACAAAGGCAATGATGCGCATCTTGTGATTCTTGCCCTGCCGGTGCTTCAGAGCCAACTAATAAAGGATAAGGATGTTTTAAGAGTTAACCAGGGGAACCACCAAGCCCTTTCCGCTGTTGAATTGTTCTCTTTCTTCTATAAAAAAGATGCCTCAAGAGAGCTCTGGTGGCCTACTGGTAAGAAACTGCACTGCAATCCCAGAGGTATACAGTTCAAATCCACCAGATGCTCTGCTGGAGAAGAAGGGGCAATCTCCTCCTGTACCAGTCTGATCTGATTTGACGGTACACACACACACACACACACACACACACACACAATAAATAAAAAAATTTAAAAAAAGAAAGATGTGTCAAGTCTATATCATGCTTAAATTCTAACCCTCTTTCCCTTCTTGCTATGCTTCCCTAAGTTCCCCTTCACAATACTCATCATTCAAGGAACTCGTCTCATCATTCCCTTTCTACTCCAATCAAACTAACTCTAGGTCATCTTCTTTCCCTTGCTTTGTCTAGCTCAAGATTTCAGGGGAGGAAAGCAATGAGATCATAGAGACAAGTCCTGAGAGCAGGGAGGAACAATCCAGGGGATCCACTCACATGGGCCACGCGGATGCCAGTGCAGAAGGTGATCTTGCCTTTGGGTTGGACAGTGTGGAGCTTAGACAGAATGCGGCCAGTGTCAGGGGTAAGTGTGGTAAGCACTTCACAGTCACTAGGGGTAGAGGAAAGTGTGTTAGTAACTTCTATCAACCGGGACTTTGAACTGGTTCCTCTCAGTTCAGTCATGGTCAATGAAATAAAACTGGAATGGACAAGAATCTCAAAATGTTGAGTGGCTAGAAAAATTATGGTCCACATGCTACTGGAAATTTCCCTCTTAGCCAGAGCCCTAGTCGATGGGAAGCTGCACTGCTAACTCAAAGGTGGCACTTCTCTGGCCATTCAAATTCACAAGCAGCAGCTCTGTGGGAGAAGGGTAGGCAACCTCCCCCTGTTCGACATACCCTCTGAAAACCTGCTGGCAGGTCAGCAACATTTAAAGATATTTCAGCTACTGAGCATCAAAAGCATTGTAGCACATAGTGGAGGGGAAGGTGCTATTTACACTGAAAAATGAGAATGGAGTCTGGACAAAAGCTGCCCCTCGGAATATGCAATAGAGAAACTGCCTAAAAATCATAACGAATTGCATTTGGGGAAAGCACCACCCACCTACCAAGCCCTGTACTCTGCACCACGTACTTGGCCAATGTGATGAGGCCTACGTTGTTCTCAGGGTTGCTGCGGGTCTTGGAGTGGCAAACTATGTTGACAGCATCCTGTTGGGCCTGTAGCCGGGTAGGTAGGAAGTCCCCATTCCGCATATACTCACTGTTATCCACACTGCAGGCAAGGGATCAAGAAGCAAAAAGAAATATTCAGAATTATTAAACATTCTCTTGTACAGTGCACTGTAGTACAATGGTTCTCGGTCTTTGGGGCTCACAAAATCACCTGCCAACTTTTTCTTAAAATGTACTGATGTCTAAACCTCACCAATTCAAAATGACCAGGGGAGGAATTTTCTTCTTCTTTTTTTTTTTTAAGTTCCACAATATTCCCAATGAGAACCAAAGGATGCAAACTAACTTTTTATAAGCCACACTGAAATATTTTAAGTTTTGTTACAGATTAATGTTCTAAGTCTGCCATTAAAATGGGCACATTCCAAAGGTAGGAAATCTAAGAAAACTTTAAAAAGATTTCTAAAATTACACACACTTGGTGGCATTGAGTTTAACAGTGAGTTAAAATTGACATAGTTTGCTTACACAAAGATTAGAACCCAGGAAACCACATGAGGCAATTCTACTGACCTTCAAGGACACTATGAGTTGGAATCAACTTGACAGGGATTTATTTTTGGGGGTTTGAGTATAAGAAAGCACAACGCAATAATCTAGTTTTATGTACATCAATGTAAATATAAGTAAATCTGATTTACTGTTCAAAACACTGCCTATAGATTCTAATTTCTAAAATAGATCAGGGGTTCCACCTGCATGAAAACATGGACTCAAACGCTGATTTTTTTTTACTAATGTCAACCAGCAGATTTGGAAAGCAGTAAGATGTTATATGTGAAATAACAAGCAAACAAAAGCCCAGCCAGAAATGGATGAGAAAAACAACTCACTAATTTTCTGACTAGAAATACCATCCCTTGAGCCTGGAATAACACAGACGAGGCAGAATCTTGAACATGTGACACTGCAAGCGACAAAAAGTCAATGTTGTCCAACTTTTCATCATTGTTGGGAGTAAATTTTTACCATTTTTTTTATGCTTGTATTAAAATATATCTGAAATTTTGTGTATGTTTCCAACCTCCAAAGACAAAATTTGAATTTATAGTTATTGGTAATAAAAGGCAATAATAAAAAAGGGGGAAATTATCTGATGTACTTCAAAACCAACTTATGACAGTTATCAGAACAGAATATATTATAAGTCAGGGACTACTTGTATAACAGATCTAGTTTCAAATTCTCATTCCGCTATTTACTAATTCTACGATGTTGAGGAAGGTGCCTAATTTCTCTAAAATCCAGCTTTCCCTCTGTAAATGAGATTTTTTTTTTTTGGTACCTCCTTTACAGGATTTATTTGAGGATTAAATGAAAAGATTCAATTGAGGCTAAGTCTAACAGATGGATGGGATTTGACTTCAGGTTAAGAAAAGGAGTTTAAAAGAAGAATTGAAAAATTCTTCTTTGACAAAAAGAGAACTAACAAAAAGCTCTCACATTTTTTGCCATGCATTAGAAGCACCTGGGAATGAGAGTATTAAAAATTCCTTACCACCATATGCATCACTTAAAAAAAATACGGTTTAATTTTCCCAATTTGAAGTTGGTAAATTCATGACTATTTTTGCCCACCACTCTCAAAGTTCTAAAGACTTTGTGGTAAGGAGCTGCACTGCCACCCCAAAAACATTCATTTCCAATCGAACAGCTACTCCGGGTGAAAGATGGGCAACCTCCTCCTGTGTGATTTACTGCCTCTGAAAATCTGCTTGAGAGTCAGCTGTGAATTGGTTCCTGCACCACCTTCAAAGCTTTTTTAACAATCTTCCATTAAAAGGGTACAAAACTGTTCAATCTCCTCGGGATGCTATCTAATGCCATCTACCTTCCTGGCAAAAATAAAAGGAAAGAAAGAGAATTATCTACCTTAGAGGAACATTATATTAAAGTCATACTGGATTATTTCAGCATTGTTTTTTTCCTGTTTGTAACAACTTAATGATTTCTCCTCCTCAGCATTCTAAGTCCCTTTAAGAACTCTTTTATTTCTTAAAGTCTTTCCAAGTTCCACCTCAACGAATATATGTGGTGCTCTACAGTTTGCAAATACCATCATGTACATTTTACCTTTACAATAATCTGCTATAAAGCTAGTGCATGTTACTACCAGGTCTATTTTACAAATAAAAGAGATTAACATTCTCAAGAAGCTCAAGAGGTACCTGAGAATATAGGTTTCCAAATCCTGTCATCTCTCTACTCTGAAATGATCTTCCCCAGAGGTTGCCAGGTTTAACAAATAAAAATAAAAATACAGGGCATCCCGTTAAACTTGAATTGCAGGCAATGAACAAATAACTATTAAGTATTCTCCATGCAATAACTGGGATCATTTTTTAATACTAAAAGGCAATTGTTGTTTGTCTAAAATTCAAATTTACTGGGTGTCTTGAATTTTATCTGACAATGCTACCCCCTTTCAAAAGATACACCTTCCTGGTAAAACCAGTAAGGAAGGCAAACTATTGCTTTCTCTAAAAGTTGGAAATAGGCCCCAGTCACTGAACTGCTGCCGAGGACTCAGCTGCCTCGCCCTCAAGTCCCCTTGCTTCCTGACGCTCCATCCATCCCGTGTCATCTTCCCCACCCCCCTTCTCCCGCTACCGCCTTCCGCAGGCCGTTTCCACTGAGGAAAAGGAATCATATAATATATCCACTAGCCAGAACCTCTTTCGACCCCTTTGCTGATGCAAGTAAGAGGGATGACCTGCTTCCTGCTGGGACTGAGGATTATATCTATATAAGAATTCAACAGAGAAACGGCAGGAAGACCCTTACAACTGTCCAAGGGATTGCTGATGATTACGATTAAAAGAAACTAGTGAAGGTGTTTAAGAAGAAGCTTGCCTGCAATGATACTGTAATTGAACATCCAGAATATGGAGAGATAATTCAGCTACAGGGTGACCAGCGCAAGAACATATGTCAGTTCCTTGTAGAGGTTGGACTGGCTCACTGAAGTTTAAGTGAGGATTTCCTTGCAATAAGTAGAAAATTTTCCTTCTGTCCCTTGTCACAAGTTTAAAACTTCACAGCTTGTATAATGTAACCATTTGGGGTCCACTTTTAACTTGGACTAGTGTAACTCTTTCACGCAATAAACCGAAAAGAGCCAAAGAAAAAAGAAAGTTGGAACTAGAAATACCATTTGACCCAGCCATCCCACTACTGAAAATATACTCTAAAGAAACCAGAGCAAACAGATGCATATGCTCATGCATGTTTATTGCATTATTCAAAACAGGGAAGAGATGGAAGGAACCCAAGTGCCTGTCAAAAAACAAATGGAGAGGAAAACTGTGGTACATCACAATGGTTTACACAGCACAGAAAAACAACGAACCTAGAAAACTCCACATGACCTGGATGCATCTGGAAGACATTGTTGTGGTTATGTGCCTTTGAGCCACCTGCAACTCATAGTGACCCTATGCACAATTGCTCTGAACTCTGTCTTATCCTGAGCCAATCTCACTGTCTCTGACACATCTACCCCCACTATCTCATCTAGGTCCTCCTCCCCTGGGCTGCCCCTCCACCCTTCCAAGCATGATGCCCTCCTCCAATGACTGACCACATGTCCAAAGCATGTGAGCTAGAGATTCAGAATCCCTGTCTCCAAGGAGACATTTGGTTTTATCCTCTCTAGGACAGACCAGTTTGTTTCCTTGGCAGTCTATGGCATGTTCAGAACTCTTCTCTAGCTTGACAACTCAAAGGCATTGATTCTTATTCTGTCATCCACTGTTCAGCTCTCTGATGCATAGCAAGTTAACTGGATCATGTGCACCTTAATCATGTGCACTGTTGCTTTTCAGCATTCTGAAAAGGTCCTTGACAGATTTTCCTAATGCAATTTGTCTTCTGATTTTCTGATTGCTGGTGCTAAGAGTGTTGATTGTGGAACAAGCTGAAATTGTTAACAATTTCAATCTCTCTTCTTTTCACCATGGTGCTGCCAATTGGCCCAGTGGAGAGAATCTTTGTTGAGCTTTAATCCATACTGAAGACCGCAGTAGTTGAAATTCTGCAGCAAATGCTTTAGGTCCTCCTCAGTTTTGGCAAGCAAGGTTGTGTCATCTGTGTAAAGCAGGTTGTTGATGAGTCTTCCTCCAATCTTGATGCCACATTCCTTCCTCATAAAGTCCAGCCTCCCAAATGATCTGTTGCACATACAGATTGAAAAGATATGGAGAAAGGATGCATCCTTGATGCACTCCTTTCTTGATTTTGAACCATGCAGTGTTTCCTTGCTCTGTCTGACAACTTCTTCTTGGTCTAAGTATAGGTTTCTCAAGTGCACAATCAAGTGTTCTGGGATTCCCATTCTTCTCAAGGTTGGCCACAATTTATTGTAATCCACACAGTCAAATACCTTTGCATAGTCAATGAAACACAAATAGATACTCCTCTGGTAGTCTCTGTTTTCAGCCAAGATCCATCTGACACTGGCAATGTGTCCCTTGTGCTACAACTTCTTCTAAACCCAGCTTGTATTTCTGGCAGTTTTCTATCGATGTATTGTTCCAGTCTTTTTTTTTTAAATAATATTCAGCAGGATTTTGCTTGTGTGTGATATTTTGATAATTTCCACACTCTGTTGGGATACCTTTTTTTGGAATGGGAATAAATATGGACTTCTTTCATTCAGTTGGTCAGGCAGTTGTTCTCCAGATTTCTTGGCACAATCTGGTGAGTACATCCAGGGCTGCATCTGTTTATTAAAATATGTCAACTGGTGAATTCCATCAATGCCTGTGGCCTTGTTTTTTGTCAATTCCTTCAGAACAGTTGAACGTGTGGAAAAACTATAAACTACTCATTTACAAGCTTAAACTGAAGCTAAAAAAAAAGAAAGAAAACACATCCACAAGAACCAAAATTTGACCTTGAGTCTATCCCACCGAATTTAAAAGCCATCTCATGAACAGGTTTGAAGCCCTTGAAAACTAATGAATGAAGACCAGATGAGCTGTGAGAAAATATCAAGAATAACACCATGAAGAATGCAAAAGGTCATTACAAAGACAGAAGAGGAAGAAAAGACCAAGATGGATGTCAGAAGAGACTCTGAATATTGCACTAGAACTCTGAGATGCCAAAGCAAAAGGAAGAAATCAGGAAGTTAAGAAGCTGAACAGAAGATTTCAAAAGGCAGCTCAGGAAGACAAAGCAAAGTATTATAACAAAATGTGCAAATAAATAGCTGGAATCAGAATCAAAAGGGAAGAACTCACTTGGCATTTCTCAAGCTGAAGGAACTGAGAAACAAATTCAAGCCACAAGTTGCAATACTTAAAAGATGCTACGGCAAAACACTGAATGATCCAAGAAACATTAAAAAGGGATGGAAAGAGTACAAAGAGTCCCTGTACCAAAAATAACCGACTGGCACAGAAAAATTTCATGAAGCAACATATGATCAAGGGGCAGTGATGATGAAGGAGGACATTTAAACTGCTGGAAGACAGTATGCTAAGTGAAATAGCTCTGTCACCATTAAAAGGATAAATACTGTATAAGGCCACTGTTACAAAAATACGATGGATATAGGGGAAGGGAGAAAAGGAAAAGAAAGCTAGATAATGGACACTACACTGGAATGGGAGAAAAAAGGGACTATCTGAAGGGAATGGATAATTAGACATTGTGTGTATGACAACTGACAATATGGAACAAGATATGTATTACAAAGTTAATTGGGGGAGGGGAGGGAGGAAATCAGTCCCACCCATGTGACATCTGTTGGTGTGCTATTTTGTATTACATTCTAAATGCACACTAAGAACCCTTGAAACCATGTCTAAATTTCTGTCAGCAGTTTCTGACCCTGCTCCTTGAGATACTCAGCTCAAATACGAGTGTCTTCATTAAGAGAGGAGTAAGCCTACTTCACCAGACTGGATTCTGTGTCAAACAGGTTTACATTTAAATCTCAGCTCCACCACTGTATGACTCTGGGGAAATCGACATCCTTGTTTATAAAAGGAAATATATTTACTTCGAAGTACTGCTATGAAGTGTAAACGAAAAATAAACACAATACCTGCCGTGAGTAATTTATGAACGTTGACTTTGAGGAAGAAAAGATTTAGGAAAGACTGAGTGGGGGAAGGTAGAAATTTATAATCTCTCTTCCTAATCTCCCATCATCTAGAGAATAGGAGAGCAGAAGATCGTCAAGGAGTTGTCAGAGAAGCAGATCTCTAGCTAAAGACAGCCCTCGGACTGGTCTACAGAACATGAGACAGGAATTAGCAAAGGCAGCAAGAGCCGGCAGGTCAGTGACTATCTGCAGGTTAGGGGCTCACAGGGGGTCCCCAGGCCTGTCCTCCTTTCCAGGGCCCAAAGATGACTCAGGGAGTCGGCAGAGCTTTTTCTTTCTGAGCCCAAGATCATATTTCACCCGTTAGCCCCTCGTCCCAGGCCAAAGCCGCTTAGCCTTGGTATTATACGGGTCCTGGACCCATGCCCGACCCCCAATGAAACCCCAAGTGGTTTCTTACCAAACCATAGTGCTTTCCAACACCATCTTGCCACTTCTTGCCTTTCCTGACCGGTTGTTCTGGACTGCCCAATAACAACTCCTCCAATTGGGCCAAAGCACCACCAATCATAGGCCTTAGCTTGGTCAGCTGGCTCCACTTCGTCCGTTGCGTTGCACTCTGGGATTTGTAGGCGCTTCCCAGATGAAAGCAGTATTTGGAGTATTCGATGGCGCAGTATCGTTCCAATTTTAGTGATAAGGAGCTTCACTGCTAACCCGGAAGTAAGCGATTTTAATTCACCATAACTCCGCGCGAGAAAGATGTCAGTCTCCTCCCGTCCGATTTACTGCTGCCCTCTATGAGGTGGATTGATTCAGTGACTGGGTTAATCGGGATGGGAGTGTCGGAGGCAGTGCGATTGGCACAGGACAGAGCAGAGTTTAGGGCTGTTGTACATAGGGTCACTATGAGTCGCAAGCGACTCGACAGCACATAACAACAACAACAACACGCTGGAGGAACATCACTACAATGTGGTGGCTTAATGGTAAGGAGTTATACTACCAACCCAAAAGCTAGCGAATCTATTCCACCAACTCTTCTAGTGTGGTTTACTGCTTCTGAAAATCCTGTAGAGGATCAGCTAGGAGTCATTTTCTACGCAATAACAATATGTAGTGGGTTATTCTTTGGACTGCTAACCAAAAGATTAAAGGTTCCGACCACCGAGGAAGATGCACCCATAATGATGTTAGTCCTGAGAAACCCTCTGAGGGCAGTTCCGCTCTGTCTTATAGGGTAATTTATAAATTAGATGCATGTTCTTTTTATTTGCCATCTATCTAGATGCATAGGGAACAATTAAAACTAACTTGGTCTGAATCAGCTGCATTTTGATAGTTCCATTAGTGTCTTGCTCTTTAGCATTTTGGAGAGGTGGCAAAGCAACACATCTTTTGATTGCTTGACTGAGTGATTGTGGATTCAAGTAAAATCAAGTCATTGATAACTGCAATCTTTTCCCCACTTACTAGGTAACGTCAATCTTTTCTCCATCATGATGCTTATTGGTTAAACGATGAAGATTTTTATTTTCTTGATGTAGAAGCATAACCTATACTGTAATCTTTGGGTTCTGAAATAAGTGTTTTAAGCTGCCTTCACTTTTGCCAGCAAGATTATGTCATCTTCATAATGCATCCAGATTGAATAGGTATGGAGAAAGAATACAATCCTTATGCATACCTTACCTGATTTTAAATCATGCACTGTTCCCTTGTTCTGTTCTAACAACTATTTCTCCGTCTATATATAGCTTTTTCATGAGCACAGTATGTTCTCAATTTCCATTCTTCTCAATCTTAGCCATAATTTGATATGACCCTTACGGTCAGATGCCTTTATATAGTCACTAAAACACATAGCAAGTTGTTTCATATGCATCTGAAAATTCGACAATGAATAAAGATAGCATAATAATTTTCGAGTTGGAAAAGGATACTAAATAGCCCAGGAACTGCCAAAATAACACACAAGTCTGTCTTGGAGGAACTTCTACCAGGGTGTTGACACATTGTCTGTACTGTAGGTGCAAATGTGTCAGAGATCGTGAGAATGGTGCAGGATAAGGCAAGATTCTGATCTGTTGTTCAGAGGGTTACTGTGAGTCATAGTGGACATAATAGCAAATAACAACATGAGTTGTGATCAACTACCTCAATGAGTTTGGATTTGGGGGTGGTGGGCAGTAGTGGTTATAATGTGTATGTGTATTAGCCATTGAGTAGGAAGGATGGAGAATGTTCATCTTCCTCCCATAGAGCAGCAGGTAGATTCACATTGTCTACCTTGGGAAAGTCTGCTGTTAGGGACCTCTCCAAAGTACTGAAGAGCAATGGTGTCTCTTTGGAGACTAAGGTGCGTCTGATACAGGCCATGGTCTTTGCT